GCGCGGGCCCTACGCCTCTGGCTGGCCCACTAAGTGATGCTTGTTTCTCTTTTACTTAGGCGGAGTGTGAGTGTTTATGACTCGTATGGTCGCGTCAGTATGATTTTGCCTCATGTGTTTAACAACTTCTGCTTTGTTGAATCTAAGTTGAAATCTTATTGGGTTTGTTGTGCACTGTGTTAGATAATGTTCCAGTGGTCTGTCGGACATTCCTCCACAGTGCTGACATTTCCTCTCATCTTCTGGAACCTGTAAGCCTATTTCCCATGCACATGGGTATCCAAGCCTGATGCGATGTAAGTGTACTTCTGTTGTTCTACTGCTCCCTATCGTCAAAATAAGTGGTTCGTAGTTAGTTGAATTCTTGTACCAAACCGCAGATCCTATGTTGCAACTGCTGTGTTGTGGTCATTGTACATCTTCTGCATTGTTCTGTTTCTAATTACTTTCTTAATTTGTGATAGACTCTGTGGTATATAAATATCTACATATCTTCTCTTAGTTGCAAGTTTTGCAGCTTCGTCTGCAATGTTATTTCTTACTATTCCCTCATGACTTGGTACCTAGTTGATAAGTACGTGACGGCCTTGACGTTTACGTGTTTGCATTAATTATATGACATTTGTTATCAGATGGATGTTGTCATGTATGTGTTCTTGTTGCAAGGTTTTAATGGTCTTCATAGTAGTATTACGAAGTATAGTCTCGACACTTCCGAGGTAACGCTGAAATGCTCGTCTTAATGCGTTTCTTTTAAACTCCAGGAAACAAACAAGAAATATAAATAAGGTTTTATTTTTATCGTAGCCATTGTTTACAGCAGATGACATCAGTGTTTGTCATATTAAATAAATACATCTCTTGGATAAAATAAATATTTCACAAGTGGAAGGATTAGCTAAACTGGAAATTAGATAAAAAAAATAAGTTGTTCCGTCCTACAGTACGAGGGCCGGAGCCTGAGGGAGAGGGCGGTGTTAACATATTTACGGTGTGGAATAGAGACCAGACGGGGTCGACACACTGAAGCCACCTTCTCTGCTCTCACCACTACTGAAGTCATCTCCAAAGCCACCACCAATGCCCACTCCATGGCCACCACTTATTCCAACTCCATGGCCACCACCAATGCCGCCTCCATGGCCACCACCAATGCCGCCTCCAATGCCACCGCCAATGCCGCCTCCAAAGCCACCGCCAATGCTGCCTCCAATGCCACCGCCAATGCCACCTCCAATGCCACCGCCAATGCCACCGCCAATGCCGCCTCCAATAACCTGACCGCCACCGTGTGCAGCAGCACCGAGGGCAGAATGGAGATCCTCTCCTGTAGGTAGAGTCGGGTTGTCGCCCTCTCCGTAGTTGACGAAGAATACTTCTGGAGTCTGTTGTGCTGGTGCTGGGACGTGGACGACCTTCTGCTCCAATTCTGGTCGCTTGTTGAGGACGTACACTACGTTCTTCTGTTGAGGTGGTGGCACCACAATGGGTTCCTGACCAAGTCCAACTTCTGGGGTACGGATGAAGATAATGTTGTGTTCAAGCCTTGGTGGGGGAACATGTGGGCGTGGACCGACGATTGGGGCCACTGGTGGAGCAGTATACACAAATGCGTTTCTGGTGACAACAGGAGTCACGCAACTTCCGTCCACATGACGAACCTGTCCAGCTCCACAGCTGACTCCACCGAATCCTACTCCTCCACCGAATCCTGCGCCGCTACCGAATCCTGCGCCGCCACCGAATCCTATGCCGCCACCTAATCTTGCTCCGCCACCGAATCCTGCACCGCTACCGAATCCTGCGCCGCCACCGAATCCTACGCCACCACCGAAGCCTCCTCCCCCGGCCCCTACGCCACCACCGAAGCCTCCACCTCCGAAGCCTCCACCACCTGATCCTATGATGAGACCTGGACCAGAAGGTCTTGGTAGACCGTAGGCCGGGCGTTTCTCGGCGGCGGCTGCCGCAACCAAGGAGACAAGTATCTGTAACGGAATTAAAAATTTTATTGGTTAGATTCTGACGGATTCACAGACGGACAAGTTATTATACCAATCATGTGTTCACATTTTTTTCAGATTTTTTCTTGGTCCCCTCCAAGGTCGAACCTTCCCAGGTTACAAATGCACAACTGTTGAATAACTCTCCTATTTACTGCTAGGTGAATAGCGGCTTTTGGGGAAAGGAAACGTGACCATTCATTCTTTCCCGCCCGGTATATGAACCCGGGATACGCGATTGAGAGTCGAAAGCGATCTCAACTCTACAGGTTCCAACAGACAACCACCTGCCTGTTTAGTTAGCTCTGGCTAAAAAAAGCTCATCATCGTAGTCATTAACATGGTGACAGCAGAATATATGCAGTGATGCAATTTTCTGTATATATTCATACACAATGAGAGTTAAAGTCCTTAACGCTGTTAGGAATCAATGTATGTATGTTTTGATTTTAAACAATGAAGCGTGAGTCATAATGACCCTTGCAGACCAAAAACCTTAATAAACCTGATCATTAAACCTAAACCAACCTAACCTTATCTAACCTAACTAATATGACAGAGTAGAGACTATTTACAAATGTTTAGCCCAATCAATTGCCAGGATCATCAAGGTCTCAATCTGTACAGTGTCTAACCTTCATATTTAGTATAATCTATGTCAGAATTAAGAAAAAAACTCTGAATATACCCTGAAGTATGGGCCGTTGTTGTTGTTTTAAATTCAACTACTCGGAACAAAAAGTTGCAAGTAGCACGAGCTATGGTGAGCCCGTAGTGGTCTTGTATAGACACACCACTCGGATAGAGAGGATTGATATTTGCCTACAGAGCCTGAGGTTCTGAAGTCAGCCCGTCTTCCTAAGGTTTCCCAACGTCAAGAAACTGTTGTACTACAGTGCCCTTATCCTAACCTACCAGGGAACCCAAAACAGAAAACGTGATTATGTAAAGTTTGCGAGCCGCTACTATTTTCAAGTTCGACGATTTTTGACCTTGGGTAGAGAATACGTCAAAATGCGACGCTCTATTAGGACGACGGGTTGCTGAAGCGCTGAAACATGCAGTGTGTTAAGTGAGGAGAATAAATGTTTGTTATGTTTATGTATATGTTAAGTTCGAAACAAACATTTGCTAATGCTCTTGGAGACTTAAACATCCATACATCTTGCTATACTGTTGTTGCAGAGTGTATATGAGTAAACCATGATTTTCTTTTCTCCGTTATTGTTCTTTTAGAATTAGCTATTCAGAACGAATTGTCCATGTAGCACCGGCTATAGTGCAACCCGTTCTCGCACTTGCGTACAGTCGTACTTGCGTACAAAGTGCGAGAACGGGTTGTATAGTGAGCCCGTAATTGAGTTCGCTTATTCGCGATAACCTTGTTACTGTGATATTTGGGTCAAAGTTTTAAATGGAGGTGGGGCTTCCTCCTTTTCTCCCGTTTCTTTTCCGCTTCTGTTTTAGTGCACTGGTTTTAATTAATACCATTATCTTTGTGGCAGATGTAGATGCATAGTGTTCACTAGTGTGTCCCATTCTTCAACAGCTTTTCTAACCATTGTAATCGCTGTGAATTTTTCATCTAATGCAGCTGCTCTCGTTGGATGAATCGTGAGTTTGATGCTCAGAGCTTCAGTTGCTTCACATTTCAGTAAGTAATGCAATAGTGGCATCTCTGCATCTGTTCCACAGATATGACACTCTTTAACTGTTGGGTTTATTACCTCCCAGCAGCACTTGTAACCAAGTCTAAGTCTGTGTATGGCTACTGCAATGTCTGTGGATATCTTTTTGCCAGGCTTGAAAGACGAGTACCCAGTGGCTTCTTCGTTTCACATCGCAGTGGATCTTCCTTCCGCTACTTTGGCTCTGTGGCGACCTCTTTTCTCCAAATATTCTACCCCCTTATAATTAAGTCTGTGTGAATGCCTTCAGCCCACCTTAGGTCAGCGCCCAGTAACTTAAGGCGGCATCCACCTCTCACCCAAACCATCACCACCTCTTTCCCGGCCGGAATTGTGAAGACCTCAGGAACTCTGAATATATCTTTGTACCACCGTAACACAAGACTAAACACAGGCTGGAGGAAGCACTCACCAGGAGCTTCATGGTAGAGTGTGATGTGTCGGCGAGGCGGACCCAGTCTTTATATAGTGTCGCTCTCACTCCGACAGGGCAGCCTTGACTCTCTCGTCTACATAGCACCCCTTTTTGCCACGCTCACCTCTACCATTATCCTCCTGCACGACATAACCCGGCATCGCTCTTATTTTCTTATTTGTATGTCAAGTTGGGTGTGGGAGAGCTTCCGATGTTGTACTGCGACCGGTTGTTTATTGTACACTCCATACTTGTCCACGGTGTGATAGTTTACCATGTACCCCATACTCACCTTGTGAGCGGTAGTTTGTTATGCTCCTCTTACTCTTATGCTGAGCTTCAGTTGACCGTGTACACCGTACTTATTCCGTGAGTGATCTTTTATCGTACGCCCCTAATCTCATTTTATGAGTGGCACATTGTCCATCCTGTACTCATACTGTGAACGATAGTTTATTGTGCATTCAACACTCATCCTGCTAGCGATGGCTTATTGAGGACCCCATACTCATCCTGTGAGTGATAGTATACTGTGCATCCTCAAACTTGTTTTTAACTATTAATCCCAACATATGCGTTGTTTGCATATGTTATGCAATCCCAGTCAAACAAAAAGCCCCAGAACGAATCCATGTGACATTAGACAAGTGACATTTTTCCATTCTAACTTCACGCATTTATGGTAACTCTGCTTTCAATCCTTCAACCAGCTTTTGGTTCAGTTGAGAACATTTCCTCCAATACCATGAGCCTAAACCTATTTAATTAGTCATTCGATGGGATTAAGTGTCTAAGGCCTTATAGTTAAGAAAGGTAGTATCGTTGTTGTTGCTATTGCTGTTGACTGCGTCGAACACATAGAAGGATAGATGTCGTATAGATAGGTAAATCTGGCCGTAGTGAGGCCAGATCGCCATTGCAAGAAACCACGTTTAGAGTCCTTTTCAGACAATTTGTGTCGAGGAGATTTCTCATTGAATTTGCTATTATATGCTAAAGGAACTTTCCCGCTATCGATATCGGGCAGTAGTTAGCAGCAAGGTATCTGTCCCCTTTCTTGAATATTGGGACTATGCTGGCTTCCCTCCGTGGAGAAAGGTCTCTTCCTTTTTTCAATATTTTGATCAGTAGTAAACAGAGCTCCTCTGTATTCTTTTAGAATGCTAAACTCCTCATTTGGACTTGACAATTTGTTTAGTTTTAGCATTTCATTTTGTGTAATCAGGCCAACGACTTTAGTCTGCGCTGCTGCATCCATCGCCAGCCTTGTATGCTGTTTTCGCAATGATGTTGGCTACGTTTTCACAAGTAAATAAAGGTAAAATAATAATTTAGCATATTACTCATGTCTGTCTCGTCATTTACCAAACAGGCAGTACTTGTTTACAGAGGGCCGGTTTCTCCAGTTTGGTCTGGCAGTGCAAGAAAAAACTTTGTTTTTTTTTTTACATTGTATTTCTGATTAACGTGGCTTCATTATCCCTACGTCTTTTATTTCCCGTTTATAGACCCCTTTACTTTTTCCACAGATTAATTAGGTTCTTTTTCCTTTCTTGAACCTTCTATTACGCTTTTTATGTCTTTACGGAACCCCAAGAACCGTTTTGCTCCAGAACACAGAGAACCCCCGGCTCTAATGTGTGGTGCTGTCTTTCATGAATGTAATGAACATTATCGAGTTTTATTTAGCCTAGAAACAGTATCGCCAATATTTACGAGCATTTTGGTAAAGTGAGAGTGAGCCGCGCCTCCTTAAGGCGTTGTCCAGCAGACACCTGGATGATCTCACTAAACAAGAACACATAAGTAGTTTACACCGGTCTCAACAAACAGTATGGACATGGCAGGTATCAATGAGAGATAAAGAATGATATAAAATAATATATTTGTTTAACAATAAATGATGGGTAATATCTTCATATATTTAACAAATATGATAGTGACATTGCAAGGCAGGTAAAGTGATGATGCTTATAAAATGTAACTTAGTTGTATCAAATCTTAATCCGTCAAATATAAATAATATTTTTTTTTTATTTACCAAGCGTTTCCGTAGGAAATATCTCGATATTCCTAATTAATCCAATGTTAAGAATACCCGGTAATAGGTGACAGAGAATAGTATCTTAACCTATTATAATACTGAAAAACATGACCATAATGGTACTAAATAATGTAGTATAAAATTGGGTGATTCATGTTAAAACTTTAGAAGAGTATATCAATAAGGTGACAAATCCTCATATGCCCCGAGATGTGTTTTGATTTTTCTACAGAACTTTCTTTAATTTGTTGAGTTAGACATGCTGATTGTATTGTGATATAAAATTTAGTTTCAATCTGTGTTTGAAAAACAAAAGTGCGAAAGTGTGGGTGTATGCTTTGCGTAATAGTGGCTTCATAGATTGTGTAACTTCTGTCCCTACAATTGTTCATTACTCATATGTTCTTTGTACACACATTCTTTTGACAAAACATTTATATTTGTGTTGTATTTGTATTTTGAAGGTTTGAGTGCCAGTTCACTCCATATATGACAATTTCTGAAGTGGACAGAATTTAGACTGTGTAGAGGAGACTAGTGGGTTGTCAGGTTTGAGCTGAATCTTTTGTTGTGCTAAAAACTTTTCCATTGTATGCAATTTTTGAATATTTTAGGATGGGTTAAACACGTGTTTGCGAACATAGACATGAAGAGTTTAATTGTGTCTATAAAATTAAGCAGTTGGTCCGGTGATCGCGTTTGCTCTTAAATTAGATTATTCCTGTAACTACTGTGGGGTTATCTAAATTGGTCTTTACTAAGAAGTGTGAGTGAAGAACCATAGACAATACCAGTCCATAACACGAGGGTTGATAATACTATAATACAGAAACTTTATAGAGAAAATCATTTGAATAAAACCCAAAATAGATTATACCAAATAACGGTGCATCACACATACAAGGTCTCACAACTTGGTATGAAACACCACATTTACGAGGGCTTGCAGTTAGGTATATGCAACTCAAAATCGAAGGAAAGGCAAGTGACAATACTTCGAAAATATTATACAAATTCTTCTATTTTCTGTGGTAGTATTCAACATTGTGTATATATATTTAACATTGTTTCTCCACTAGATAAGAGTCGCTCTGGCTTTTGCCTTTGAGTGACTCCATCTCTTATTCAAACACATTTTGAGAGACAGTGTTCGTTCATTATTAAAGAAACAGTTGGACACATTGTCACGACAGTGTGATGTTTTAGTGATATTGGCAACACTAGCAATTTAGTAGTGTTTCAAAATGCAACAATACTTTGATATATTCATAATCTGACCAGCAAAACATATTGAGTGGTATGATAATGTGCAAAATGATAACGTTGTAATGGTATTTTTATTTAATGTTTGACCAAACAATATGAAGGATAACTACAGCAAGTTGGGGTTCTATATATTACCCAGCTTCGTGTGCTGGTACCTAGGATACCTGGTACCAGACAAGTGCTGAATTAATTTAATTTGCTAGTCCTATACTAATGCTGACTTCATTTACTAGTACCACACTAGTGATGACCTTATGTGCAGATGTCACACTAGTGCTGGCTTCCTATACTAGTACAACACGAGTACTAGCCTCATGTATGCTTTCCATTAAAAATAGAAGTTAAGTTTCGAGTTATTTCTCAATAAGTAACATTGAAGTGCTCGTCATGATGCGTTTCTTCATAGCTCCAGGAAACAAACAAATAATATAATTAAGGTTTTATTTTTATCTAAGCCATTGTTTACAGCAGATATCAATATTTGTCATATTAATAAATATATCTCTGGGATAAAATAAATATTACAGGATAAGTGGAAGGATTAGATAAACGGGAAATTAGATAAAGAAAATCATTTGTTCCGTCCTGCAGTACGATGGCCGAAGCCTGATGGAGAGGGCGGTGTTAACATATTTATGGCGTGGAATATAGACCAGACGGGGTCGACACACTGAAGCCACCTTCTCTGCTCTCGCCACTACTGAAGTCGTCTCCAAAGCCACCACCAATGCCGCCTCCATGGCCACCACCAATGCCGACTCCATGGCCACCACCAATGCCGCCTCCAATGCCACCGCCAATGCCACCTCCAATGCCACCTCCAATGCCACCGCCAATGCCACCTCCAAAGCCACCGCCAATGCCGCCTCCAATGCCACCGCCAATGCCGCCTCCAATAACCTGACCACCACCGTGAGCAGCAGCACCGAGGGCAGAATGGAGGTCCTCTCCTGTAGGTAGAGTCGGGTTGTCGCCCTCTCCGTAGTTGACGAAGAACACTTCTGGAGTCTGTTGTTCTTGTGCTGGAACGTGGACGACCTTCTGCTCCAGTTCTGGTCGCTTGTTGAGGACGTACACGACGTTCTTCTGTTGAGGTGGTGGCACCACAATGGGTTCCTGACCAAGTCCTACTTCTGGGGTACGGATGAAGATAATGTTGTGTTCAAGCCTTGGTGGGGGAACATTTGGGCGTGGACCGACGATTGGGGCCACTGGTGGAGCCGTATACACAAATGAATTTCTGGTGACAATAGGAGTCACGCAACTTCCGTCCACATGACGAACCTGTCCAGCTCCACAGCTGACTCCACCGAATCCTACACCGCCACCGAATCCTGCGCCGCTACCGAATCCTGCGCCGCTACCGAATCCTGCGCCGCTACCGAATCCTGCGCCGCCACCGAATCCTCTGCCACCACCTAATCTTGCTCCGCCACCTAATCCCACTCCACTGAATCCGGCGCCGCCACCGAATCCTACGCCACCACCGAAGCCTCCTCCCCCGGCCCCTACGCCACCACCGAAGCCTCCACCTCCACCTCCGAAGCCTCCACCACCTGATCCACCTATGATGAAACCTGGACCAGAAGGTCTTGGTAGACCGTAGGCCGGGCGTTTCTCGGCGGCGGCTGCCGCAACCAAGGAGACAAGTATCTGAAACGGAATTAAAATTGTATTGGTTAGATCCTGACCGACTTACAGACGAACAAAGTTATTATTCCTTTATATAAAGTTATAAGAGACTATTTGCTAATGTTAAGCCCACTCAACTGGTACAGGATCATCAAGGCCCTATTATGAAGAATATTAGGGCCTTGATGGGCCTTACACTCCTTACTCAGAGTCTAACCTTCATGTATAATATATTCTGTCAGAATTATGTAAAACGTCTGAATATACCCTGAAGTATGGGCCTCACCACTCGATGTATACATTCTCATAGGATTAGTATACGTCAATAAATTCAGGTGTTTCTAAAGCACTGAAACATACAGTCTTTTAATCAAGCAGTATAAATGTCTGTTATGATTATGTGTATGTGAAGTGTGTGTTGTATTTTGTGTGTTAAATGTATAATTTGTGTATTAAATATGTGATTTGCTAGTGAAGAACGTGACAACCGTAAAATTGGTAACTGAGAACAAAAACAAAGGTGCTGTAAAGTGAAGGGTGAGCTTCAAGTAGGCCGAATAGTGCGTGTTGGTAACACTTAACTATCACATCTAGGACGCCTCCTTTATTAAGGCTATGACGTCACTCCTACAGTGCTGAAGGTGCACACTAAATGTTCAAATATCTGTGTGCGGGACAATTTTTGTTTTTCCCTCAAAGTTTCTGCTTTTTCAGTTCCTATTTAGTCTTAGACACCGTTGACTTGGTCTTCACTTGCTCCATCTAACCCGTTATAACAATTATGGCCGTAGCAGTGTTATGTAAATAATAAGTTGTTAATGACAAACCTAAAACGCTTCAGAAACCTAAAGCCACTACTGGTGTTGCCATGACACTTTACACCTTTTAGTCACACCCGGTGACATCAGAAGAAGTCAAGGTTTTCCCCACAAACCTCTTATCCATTTACAGTTTAAATATGCATTAGAAACAAACATTTACTAATTCTCTATAACAAGTAGAGCGTAACATCTGAAGCCTATGTTTTCCAGACTAAAACAGTTATACATCCTGCTTGATTGTTGACGGAGTGTATAAGAGTAGACCATGATTTTCTTTTCTGCGAATATTCTACCCCCCCCCCCCCCCTTATAATTAATTACGTCTGTGTGAATGCCTTCAGCCCACCTTAGGTCAGCGCCCAGTAACTTAAGGCGGCATCCACCTCTCACCCAAACCATCACCACCTCTTTCCCGGCCGGAATTGTGAAGACCTCAGGAACTCTGAATATATCTTTGTACCACCGTAACACAAGACTAAACACAGGCTGGAGGAAGCACTCACCAGGAGCTTCATGGCAGAGTGTGATGTGTCGGTGAGGCGGACCCAGTCTTTATATAGTGTCGCTCTCACTCCGACAGGGCAGCCTTGACTCTCTCGTCTACATAGCACCCCTTTTTGCCACGCTCACCTCTACCATTATCCTCCTGCACGACATAACCCGGCATCGCTCTTATTTTCTTATTTGTATGTCAAGTTGGGTGTGGGAGAGCTTCCGATGTTGTACTGCGACCGGTTGTTTATTGTACACTCCATACTTGTCCACGGTGTGATAGTTTACCATGTACCCCATACTCACCTTGTGAGCGGTAGTTTGTTATGCTCCTCTTACTCTTATGCTGAGCTTCAGTTGACTGTGTACACCGTACTTATTCCGTGAGTGATCTTTTATCGTACGCCCCTAATCTCATTTTATGAGTGGCACATTGTCCATCCTGTACTCATACTGTGAACGATAGTTTATTGTGCATTCAACACTCATCCTGCTAGCGATGGCTTATTGAGGACCTCATGCTCATCCTTTGAAAGATATATTGTGCATCTCATACTGATCCTGTAAGTGAGTTTTTTGTGCACCCGATACTCATCCTTTGAGCGATAGTTTACCATGCATCTTCAAACTTGTTTTTTTTTTAATTATTAACCTCAACATAAACGTTGTTTGCATATATTATAAAAACAAAGGCCTCAAAAATATCCTTGCGACACAAGTGACATTTCTCCAAACTGACTTCACCTCTTTGATGCTAACTCTGCTTATAATCCTTCAACCAGGCTTTGGTTCAGTTGAGAACATTCCTTCTATTTCCTCCAGGGAGAAGGAACTGTTCCTTTTTTTTATTCTTTTAAATAGTACACAGAGAGTTCCTCTGTATTATTTTAAGAATGCTAACCGCCTCACTTAGACTTGACAGTTTGTTTAGTTTTAACATTTTTATTTTTTATAATTTTGTCATGTTTTTAGTCTGTACGCTGCATAGTTTATTTTCGTTGCCTCCTTGTATATTGCTTTCACGATGAGGAAGGCTACGTTTTCACAAGTAAAGACAGAGGTAAAATTGTAATATAGCATATTACTCATATCTGTCTCGTTATTTATCAGTTGGCCATTATTTGTATTTAGAGGGCCTCTTTCTCCTCCACCTCATTCTGGCAATGCATGAAAAATCTTTTGCTTTTAACATTGTGTTTCTGAATACCATGGCATCATTACCCCAATTTTCTTATATTTCCCGTTTAACGACCCCTTTTACTTTTTTCAACTGATTTAATAGGTTGTCTCCTTTCATGTATCTTCAAATTTCGTGTTTTTTATGTTTTACGGACCCCCAGAACCCCCCTTGTGCCCATACCCCCTGCTCTTATGTGTGACTCTGTCTTTCATGTACACAATACACATAATCATATTTATATTTAGTCTAGAAACGGTACAGTGGGTAAAGTAAGATTCAATTTCAATTTCTTTCCACCACATACCCATCCCGTGGGTGGTGGTGGAAAGGGTTACAGAGGCACATGATCGGTTCAGGAACTGAACCACATAGTTTGATAACTAAGCAAGGGATAGTCTTTTGAAGCTAGTTATACAAAGTTAAGCAGGTCGTGCCTGCTTTACTCGTTGTCCAGCAGACACCTGGAAGGTGTTAATAAACAAGAACACATAAGTAGGTTATACCTGGTTTCTGCAAATAATATCGGCTTGACAGGTGTTAATGATAGATGACAATTAATATTTAATAATAAGTGATATTACTTACAAAGTACAATATGGTTGTATCACATCCTATCTATCAAATATAGACTGATAAAATATTTATGTAATAAGAGTTTGGGTGAGAAATATCTTAATATTCTTAATACAATGTTTAAAGTACTTGGTAACAGGTGACCAACAGTAATGTCTTAACCTATTATATTACTGAATAACAAGATTAAAATATATATATTTTATATATTTTATATATTATATATATATATATATATTTATATATATATATATATATATATATATATATATTTATATATATATATATATATTTATATATATATATATATTATATATATATATATATATATATATATATATATATATATATATATATATATATATATATATATATATATATATATATATATCGATCTAGATCCTGTCGATCCTATTATTTTTATAAAAAAAAAATATATATTATATATATATATATATATATATATATATATATATATGTCGTACCTAGTAGCCAGAACGCACTTCTCAGCCTACTATGCAAGGCCCGATTTGCCTAATAAGCCAAGTTTTCCTGAATTAATATATTTTCTCTAATTTTTTTCTTATGAAATGATAAAGCTACCCATTTCATTATGTATGAGGTCAATCTTTTTTATTTAAGTTAAAATTAACGTAGATATATGACCGAACCTAACCAACCCTACCTAACCTAACCTAACCTATCTTTATAGGTTAGGTTAGGTTAGGTAGCCGAAAAAGTTAGGTTAGGTTAGGTTAGGTAGGTTAGGTAGTCGAAAAACCATTAATTCATGAAAACTTGGCTTATTAGGCAAATCGGGCCTTGCATTGTAGGCTGAGAAGTGCGTTCTGGCTACTAGGTACGACATATATATATATATATATATATATATATATATATATATATATATATATATATATATATATTGTCTAGATCGAGTGCCAGTTAGTTCCATATATGACAATCCCTGATATGGACGAACGGCCTAGACTGTCTGGACTATTGGAATTGTCAGATTTGATCTGAATCTTTTGTTGTGCTAAATATTGTTTTCTCTTGAATGAAATTGTTTAGTATTTTAGGATGGGTTAAACACTTTTTTGCTAACGTAGAAGTGAACAACTTAATGGTTTCGGGGAAAGTAAGGTGTTGGTCCAGTGATCGCGTCTGTTCTTGAATTAGATTTTTCCTTTAACTTTCCTAAGGGTTTTCTAAATTCGTTTCTCCTAAGAAGTGTAAGTCGAGGACCGTGGACAATACCAGTGTATAACACGAGGGTGGATAATACAGTAGTACTTTAATACACTAACTTTGTAGATGAATATGAACAAGTAAAATGTAAGATACCAAATAACGGAGCAGCACACTTGCGAGGTCTCGTAACTAGGTATGTTCAACGGCACATTTACGAGGTCTTGCAACTATTTATTTGCAAGATAATTTATATATTTATTTGCAAGATTTATTTATCTATTTAGTTCGAGCAACTATTTATTTGCTCGAACTAAATGCTAGTAATTCACCTATGAAAGGCTTCGACATGTATTCTTCTAAATGTATACATTCCAAGAACGGAATGTATTCTTCTTTTTTGGGATGGGAAGAGGGGGGGGGGAAAGGTTCCGTGCAGCACTGTATAAATGTTTAGCATTGTTTCTCTTACCTTACGCTCTGAATGGCTCCATCTTGTATTTCAGCACCTTATGTGTAATAAATATTCGTTTTTGGCAGAAAGTATTCGTTCATAATTAAAGAAAGTCGGACACTTAAACACCACTGTGTAATGTGGATTCGTCGATGCAGCGCAAACTTGCAATTTAGTAGTGATAAAAAATGCAACACTATACCGATATATGTATTTATATCTGAACAGTAAAAAATATTGAGTGGTATGATAATGTGTAAAATGATATCGTTGTGGTGTTCGTTTTATGTAATTTATTGGTAACTATACGAAGGATAACTGAAGTAAGTTGTGATCCTAAAGATTACCCAGCTTCTTGAGCTGGTACCTAGGTTACTTGTTTCCAGACAAGTGATGAATTCATTTGCTTGTACGAGACTAATGCTGACTTCATGTACAAGTACTATATTAGTATTGTGGCCACTTTTGCGCAGGCTTCATGATATATTTACAAACTAGTGCTGGTATTATTCTAGTGCTGACTTCATGTGCTGGTGTCACACTAGTGGTGGCTTCATGTACTAGTACCACACCAGAGCAAGACTCTTGTATTCTCTCCACTAAAAACAGAAGATAGGTCTCTGTGTTATTCCTCAATAAGTATCATTGTGATGGTGCACAATGATAAGAAACGATCGTCATGATGCGTTTCTTTAAAGCTCTAGGAAACAAACAGATAATTTAAATAAGGTTTTATTTGTATCTTAACCATTGTTTACAATAGGTGATATCGGTGTTTGTCATATTAAATAAATCCATCGATTGGATGAAATAAATATTACACAAGTGGAAGGATTAGCTAAACTGAAAATTACATAAAGAAGATAAGTTGTTCCGTCCTACAGTACAAGGGCCGGAGCCTGAGGGAGAAGGCGGTGTTAACATATTTATGGTGTGGAATATAGACCAGATGGGGTCGACACACTGAAGCCACCTTCTCTGCTCTCACCACTACTGAAGTCGTCTCCAAAACCACCACCAATGCCGCCTCCATGGCCACCACCAATGCCGACTCCATGGCCACCACCAATGCCGACTCCATGGCCACCACTAATGCCGCCTCCAATGGCGCCTCCAATGCCACCTCCAATGCCACCGCCAATGCCACCGCCAATGCCACCTCCAATGCCGCCTCCAATAACCTGACCTCCACCGTGAGCAGCAGCACCGAGGGCAGAATGGAGATCCTCTCCTGTAGGTAGAGTCGGGTTGTCGCCCTCTCCGTAGTTGACGAAGAACACTTCTGGAGTCTGTTGTTCTTGTGCTGGAACGTGGACGACCTTTTGCTCCAGTTCTGGTCGCTTGTTGAGGACGTACACGACGTTCTTCTGTTGAGGTGGTGGCACCACAATGGGTTCCTGACGAAGTCCGACTTCTGGGGTACGGATGAAGATAATGTTGTGTTCAAGCTTTGGTAGGGGAACTTGTGGGCGTGGACCGACGATTGGGGCCACTGGTGGAGCAGTATACACAAAGGAGTTTCTGGTGACAACAGGAGTCACGCAACTTCCGTCCACATGACGAACCTGTCCAGCTCCACAGCTGACTCCACCGAATCCTACTCCTCCACCGAATCCTGCGCCGCCACCGAATCCTGCGCCGCCACCAAATCCTGCGCCGCCACCGAATCCAACGCTGCCGCCACCCAATCCTGCGCCGCCACCCAATCCTGCGCCGCCACCGAAGCCTCCTCCCCCGGCCCCTACGCCACCACCGAAGCCTCCACTTCCGAAGCCTCCACCTCCTGATCCACCTATTACGAAGCCTGGACCAGACGGTCTTTGTAGACTGTAGGCCGGACGTTTCTCGGCGGCGGCTGCCGCAACCAAGGAGACAAGTATCTGAAAAAGAATCATAATGTTATTGGTTAGATTCTGATTGACTCAGAGACGCAGAAAGTTACTGTACCATTTATGTGTTAATAATTATTTTAAGATTTGTCTTACATATTTAATGAATTCTGTTTATAAGTTATTCGTGCTGGAAATAATGTGGTTTGAAGGCAATTCAGTCTTCAGCAGGCAAACACCAGACAGTTCTGTTCTGGTTAGAAAACCCTAATCATTAAGGTCATTAAGATGGTAAGAGCATAATATATACAGAGTGGTACACTTTTCAGTGAATATTCACACACATTGAGAATTTGAATCTTTAACGCTAAAAGTGTAAATACAAATATTTAGGTTATCAACAATGTAGAATGTAGAGTGAGTGCCTAATGATCCTAGCATATAATAGACCTAAATAAACTTTATCAACAAAATTTACCCAATCTGACTTTATCTAACTTTTCTAAGGAGACAGAAGAGGCCATGTGTTAATGTTAAGGCCTCACAATTACCAGGATCATTAAGGCAACAATCTTGTCAGTTTCCAACCTTCATATATAATATAATCTATATCAGAATTATGAAATGAAGAAATATCAGTGAATATTCATTGAAATGTACTCTTTCACTTTTTAATGCATTTATATATATATATATATATATATATATATATATATATATATATATATATATATATATATATATATATATATATATATATATGCAACAATGATCACAAAAACACTGATTCCAAGTATGCAGAAAAACCACATGTGAAAAATAGAGTGTTTAACGCGTTTTCGGCTAATTCGCCTTTATCAGAGCAAAGTAGAATGAAGAACCAGTCTTCATTCTACTTTGATCTGATGAAGGCGAATTAGCCGAAAACGCGTTAAGCATTCTCTATCTCATATATATATATATATATATATATATATATATATATATATATATATATATATATATATATATATATATATATATATATAAGAATAAATGTGCGTTATGTGAATATTAATTGTGTGTTTATTTTGTGTTTGTTATTTGTATTAATTCGATTACTTGTTGAAGAAATCGACTTGCGGAATATTGGGAGCTGAAAACGGAAAGAGAGGTGCTGTAGAGGATGATCCTCAAGAGGACGGAATAGTGCGTGTTGGTTACACTTGTCACATATGCCTCAGCCTTAAGGGCTTTGGTGTCATTCGTGCAGCGCTACAACTGTGCAATACATGTTCAAATATCTATGACTGGTATTTTTTCTGGTCAAGTTACCGGGGGTTTCAATTCAGATTTAGTCATAAAGGCACCGTGTGCTAACGTTTTCCCTATTCTCTGTAACTCCTCAAATAGACTAGTGTCATAGCGGTGTTGTGTGAAAACAACTCTAAAACTTCTTGGCCAATACTGGTGTTGCCATGACAGCTTACACCTGTGAGTCATTCTCGGTGACATTAGAAGAGGTCAAGGTTTTCACCACAAACCTCTTATCCAATTACAGTTTAAGTATGCACCAGAAACATTTACAAATTCTCTCTAACAAGAAGACCTTGACAGCTGAAATCAATGTCTTCGAGTGTAAAAAGAAGAGTCGTACATCTTGCTAGACTGTTGGCGGAGTCAGTACGAGTAGACCTTGAATATATTTTCTCATAGTACACCACTTATAAAAATTTTCCTGTGTGAATGTCTATAACCCACCTTGGGTCAGCGCCCAGTAACCTGGAGCGACATCCAACTCTCTCACCAACACCATCTCCACCTCTTTCCTGCTCGTACTTATCAATAACACTGGAACTCGTAATGTGTCTTAAGACCACCACAACTTAAATCGCTTGGCACTCACCAGGAGCTTCATAGTGGAGTGTGATGTGTCGACGAGGCGGTGTGAGTCTTTATATATAGTGTTGCTCTCACCCCAACGAGGCAACCTTGACACTCTCGTCTACATAGAACGCCTTTTTGCCACTCTCACCTCTGCCATTATCATCCTGCACAACGTAACCCGTCATCGCTCTGGTTTATAGTTAGATTTGGTCGTTGGAGATCTAGTTAGTTTAGTCATTTATTATACACACCCTTATACACATCCCTTGGGCGGTGGTGAGATGGGTTCTAAAGTCACATAATGAGTTCACGGACTGAACCCAATAGTTCATTTAGCTAAGCAAGTAACAATCTTGTTAAGTTATGTTGCACAGTTTTTAATTCACACATACATATATATACTCCTTGGCCTCATCAGAAATAGGGCCCAAAGGACTGCCATGGGTCGCCCCACTGGCGTCCAGATTCGACTCCTGTTGTGGGCCAAAATGTTTGAAGGATTTACAGCTTGGGGACGATTAAAGCTTTCTCTCTTTCTCACACACACACACACACTCATATGGGGGCCCTGGTAGCCTGGTGGATAGCGCGCAGGACTCGTAATTCTGTGGCGCGAGTTCGATTCCCGCACCAGGCAGAAACAAATGGGCAAAGTTTCTTTCACCCGGAATGCCCCTGTTACCTAGCAGTAAATAGGTACCTGGGAGTTAGTCAGCTGTCACGGGTTGCTTCCTGAGGTGTGTGTGTGTGTATGGTGTGGAACAAAAAAAAAAGGTAGTTAGTAAAAAAGTTACTTGACTGTTGAGAGGCGGGTCGAAAGAGCAAAGCTCAACCCCCGCAAACACAACTAGGTGAATATACACACACACACCATGCCTGACGATCCTCCTGGAGTTTTATGATATGGTGGCAAAAAATAAGCAAGACAGAAAAGACTGGGCAGATTGCGTATTTCTGGACTGCCAAAAATCCTTTGATACAGTACTACACAGGAGGTTACTATACAAACTTATGAGGCATGCGGGAGTAGACTGAAACGCACTAACATGGGTGAGGATTTACCTAACAGACAAACGTCAAGAGAGTGACAGTGAGGGGCGAGGAGTTTAACAAGAGGGGTTTCTCAAGGATCGGTGCTGGGACCTATACTATACCTCATTTATGTAAACGACTTGACTGCAAGAGTTGAGTCTTATATGTCGGTGTTTGCAGATGATGCAGAACGAATGAGGAGAGTTGAAGCAGATGAGGATTGTAAGATTCTCCACGATGACTTGAACAGGTTCAGAGCTGGTCCAAGAAATGGCTGCTAGAGTACAACACCAGCAAGTGTATAGTGATGAAAATGGGATCAGGAGCCAGGAGACCGAAAGGCCAATACACGTTGAAGGGAAAATGCCTCCCTATGTCGACTAGAGAAAAAGATCTGGGAGTGAACATAAAACCAAACCTAACTCCAGAGGCTCATATAAATAGAATAACGTCAGCTGCCTACTCTCCGCAGGCAAAAATCAGAATATCCTTTAGAAACTTGAATAAGGAGATGTTTAGATCACTATATACCGCTTATGAGAGGCCAGTCTTGAGTATGCCGCCCCATCATGGAGCCCCCTTCTAAAAAAAATAACATAAGGAAGCTCGAAATGGTGCAGAAGTTTGCAGCGAAACTCGTCCCAGAGCTGTGAAGGATGATGTACGAAGAGAGACTGATGGAATTAAGCCTGACGACGTTAGAAAGGAGGAGGGACCGGGGGGGGGATATGATATAGACATATAAAATACTTAGAGGGATTGGCAGGGTGGAAAGAGAGGAAATGTTTACAATGAATATCAATAGAACAAGGGGGAGCACGGATGAAAACTTGACATTCAGATGTTTCATAGAGATGTTAGAAAGTTTTCTCTTAGCGTAAGGGTAGTGAATAAATGGAATGACTTAAATTGATCTACAACCTAAAGGAGATGGTTGTAGAGGCAAACTTCATTCATAACTTTAAAAGAAGGAATGATAGGGAAATAGACCAAGAGTCATTGCATTAGACAACCAATAGCTATAAAAGAGGGGTCCAAGAGCTAGAGATCGATCCTGCAGACACAAATAGATGAGTACACACTAACAGAGACGAAACTTTAAGAAAATATTTTAAATAAGTTCGTATTCACAGGAGGCTACTCAGTTTAGACGTGACAGAAAAAATAAGAAGGGTGGATGTGTGGCTGTGCTGGTGAAAGAAAACCTGAAGATAAGACAGGTAATAATCGAAAACTCTCAAGAAGTTGACATAATGGCATTGCAGGTCTGGAATCAGGATGATAACTGATAATCGTAAGTGCCTACAGCCCACCAGCAGCAACACATGGACGAAGGATGAACTAGATAACAAACGAGAGGGGATCATAATTGTCATGAGAGAGATTATAGTACAAGCAGGAAAAAATAAATCACAATTGTTGGTACTGGGGGACTTCAACTTAAAAACAATAGACTGTGAGGTTTACAAAGCAAGAACGGGGGACATTTAGTCAGGCAGATTTGTAAACCTCACTCTGGAGACATTCATGTATCAACACATCAAGCTGGCCACAAGAATGAGGGAAGGGGATGTTCTGTCAATACTGGATTTAATATTCACCAGGAAAGAAGAGATATTTGGCATCCAGTACCTTCCTCCCTTGGGAAAGAGTGATCATGTCCTGTTGGAAATTAAATTTTGCTTTGTGATATAATCTAGAAGAGAATGGGGACATAGACACAGGGGACAAACGTGATTTCAAAAGATGACACTACGGGGAACTTAGCAAGTTCTTCAAAAAACAGACTCTTTAATTGAAAAGTCTTGTTGCTAGGCAAGGAAGTATATAAGATGTAAGTCAAATTTTGTGAAATATATGAAGAACACACAAATTCATACCAAAACAGAGATGCAGAACAAGAAAACAGGATTGGTTCAATATAAATTGTTCGAGTGCCAGAGAGGAAAAGGCAAGAAAATGGGTACAATATAGGAAGAGGCCTAACCCTCAAACATACCATCACTACAAAAAACAAGAAACAAATAAGCAGCAGTGAGGAGAGAGATAAAAAGGAACTTTGAGAAAGGGGTTTCTGGAAAAAAAAAAAACAGATCCAGGCCTTTTCTATGAATTCATCAAAAGCAAGCTGTTTTAAAATATAAGATAAAATAGAGTGATTGAGAATGGGGAACAGGTTTACTGAAAATTACGAAAAAATGTGTGAAACACTAAATGAACAGTTCCGAATCATGTATAACAAATCCAATTAGTTTTTATGATAGCGCCACAGAGATTCTACAGGAGAGAGATGGTTGGGTTGACTGTGTCTATCTGGACTTAAAAATGGCTTTTGACAAAGTCCCACACAAGAGGTTGTTTTGGAAATTTGAATACTGTGAGATTTTCTATTATTTAACACTAATTGACAAGTGCTGCTCAGTCAGAAAGGACTGCACAGGCCAACACGTTAAGTGTCAAATGTAAAGATTTTACTTTAAAACTAAAAATAAAAGGCGAGAGCAACCGCCAGGGTCCAGCTCATTGGATCACTTATCCACTAAGTCGTTTAGCTCCTTAATTGCTTAGGGCAGTGTTAACGGTAACAATTGGGCTATGAATCAGGTTCGAATCCAGAAGCAGGCCTTCAATAAATGCAAGAAATAGTCTAGTTTGTTGCAGCATGCGTGTGGAGTTAAATATTGTTGAAAGGTACTGACATAAAGTCACTTCTCTCGTTAGTAACAAACAATGAATTACAAAACTTATTTCTAATACAAAGCACAACAATTTAACGTTACGTTAATGGTCCTCTAGTGACAACTAATGACAGCTATCCAAACAGCAGTATAGTACGGACTCCTTTTCGTACCGCTCTTGGCTGGTATAATGAACTAGACTGACCAAACAGGTACTCACTTGGACTCAAGATGCAAATCAAAAGTGCAAAACAATCAACAATCAAATCATCACAGCACGACTGGTCACTGAGACAGTCTCCTGAAACACTCTCAATTACGTTAACCCACGTCTCTCAGCAGTCAAAACAACAACAATTACTTTAACGTTCTATCACAGACTAAACAATTGATTCCCAATCCATTTAATCAAAATAATTTTTAAATAATCACGTTAATCAGTTACGTTAATTAGTGTAATCCAGACAGTTAAGAGTCAAGGTAATCTATGTTTATTACAACTTGTCACTCAGATAGTCCAACAATCAAAACAATAAATCTCACATCAATTACTGTCACAAAGACATTTAAACAACCAGTAAGTAATTACATTAATTACTGTCACACGGACAACTAATTATCAAGACGAGTTACGTTAACACAACGCTATCACTCAAGACAACTTGCCAGCAAGACTTTGTCACTCCACTTGATTACGTTAATTACACTGCCTACAGTTGATCACCACAAGGGGTAAGTTAATGATTCTTCAATATATCATATAAGATTATACAATTGCTTTTCTCACTGACAAATCAGAAACAACGGTAACCCATTCACTTCACTCACACGGGTCATTCAATAACACAGCACAAAAAATTACAACACAACACAATCGTAGTATAATTAATTATCACAATTCCTCTTTGGACTCACTGGTTTCTTCTGCAATGATAACAAAGCATGCACATGGAAATCGAATATCAGAACGGTATAATATTGAACCGAACCTTCCCACACAATTTAATACATCCTAATTAAATGTGTAATTACGTGTATTAATACACGTGTATTTACACATGTAAATACTTGTAAATATGTGTTGCTCTGATGAAGGTGAAATGAGCGGAAAACGCGTTTAGTAATCTCTATTTTTCATGTGTGGGTGTGGTTTTTCTGCATACTTGCATCAGTCTTTTTTTTGTGATCGTTGTTGCATATATATATATATATATATATATATATATATATATATATATATATATATATATATATATATATATATATATATATATATATATATATATATATATTATATTTTGGGAGCAGGTTTTCTCTAATACACATGTCATTAAAC